CTTGGCCAGGAGAAAGAGCTATAGAGAATTAAATCAGACTCCAATTTTTCCTCTTTCAATCTTTTCATCCTTTCCCTTTTTTTCTTCCTCTTCCATAATCTCCTTCTCTCCTGACACTTGAAAACCCTTAAGGATTACATAAATGGCTCTCAAAGAACTCTTCTGAAAGCTGTAGGCATGACATTTCACTAATAAACTTGAGAAAAAGGCATGAAAACTGAAACAGTCTCTCTACAGTTCCAAGTTTTTAACAACTACAAATAAGGAAAATTGAACCTGGTACAGACCACAGTCACATATCCCTTTTCTTGTCCCATTTAAGTTAATCCTGCCTCACCCTGGCTGGTGTGGCCCAGTGGATTGAGCACTGGCCTGCAAACTGAACAGTCACCAGTTTGATTCCCAGTCAGGGCACATACCTGGGTTGTAGGCCAGGTCCCCGGTTGTGGGCATGTGAGAGGCAACCACACATTGATGTTTCTGTCTCTTTCCTTCTCTCTCCTTTCCCCTCTGTAAGAAGAAATAAATAAAATCTTAGAAAAAAAGATAATCCTACCTCAGCTCAGGGAGTCTATTGTTCTTAAGTTTCTAAGTGATGCATATCAGTTGAATAAAATCTTTAAACACTATTTGAATCACATTTTTTTCTTTTGACCAGACAAGTCATTCTGTAATAATAAAGGGCTTCATTCATTAGAAGGATATAACAATAATGAATGTTTAGGAACCTAATAGCAGGGCTTCAAAATATGTCAAGAAAACCTGGTAGAACTGAAAGGAGAAATAGACAAATCTATAATTACAGTAGGATATTTCAACATCCCTCTCTCAATAATCACTAGAATAAGTGAACAGAAAAGTGAGAATTTAGAAGACTTGGTTAGCACTGTCAGCCAACTTGCCCTCATTGACATTTATAGAACACTCCAACCATTGTAACTGAAATGCAGGTTCAGCTGACTGCTACAACGGAAGCCAAGTTTGAAAGGCAGGTGCTGGTGCCAAAGGAAAGAGGTTTATTCAGGTGCCATGATCTGGGAGAATGCTAGACTTCCATTTAAAAAACTATCCTCCCTTCCTGCTTAAGCCCATCATTCTTATAGGGATGGGGGGGCTTTTTTCCTATCCAATTATCTTGCTAGCTTTTGGCATGTTCAGGTTCTGGCCATTTATCTTTCTAGCTTGTGGCCTGCTCAGTGTAAGAACCTCTCTGTATACCATTCTGACCAATGGGGAAAACTCCCTGTTGCAGAGAGAGCTTCCCAGATGATTGCAAAGCTGAGTCTTGAAGGGTGAGTGGGAATTAAAAGAATAGTGTGATTGTAATCTACAATGAGAATATTTTTTCTATTTTAGATTTGTTCTAATATATTTTTCTTTATAATTATTGTATGCAATTTAATTGTGTGTAAGATTGAAAATTTACATATTTATGTTGCATCAAATCATTATGGAATGACTCTTTCAATCTCAATTAATACTTTTTGTCTTAGTATTTTTTTCTGTATTAATATAAATGATCTTGGTTATTTTGATCAACATTGCTTGGCAAATTTTCTTCCATTCCTTTATTTTAAATATTTCTGTATTTTTTTAAGATTTTTTAAAATTTATTTATCTTTAGAGAGGAAGGGAAGGAGAGAAGGAGAGAAATATCAATGTATGGTTGCCTCTCGTGAGTCCCCTCCTGGGAACTGGCCTGCAACCCAGGCATGTGCCCTGACTGGGAATCGAACCGTGATCATGTGGTTCACAGGCCCATGCTCAATCCATTGAGCTACACCAGCCAGGGCTATTTCTGTATTTTTATGATTTGCTAAGTTTAGCATTAACAGCACAGGGCTAGATTTGTTCATTTTCATCCAAAATGACTATCTTTGACTTTAACTGCAGAGTTTACTTTCTTAACAGTTTTATCACTCATTAAGTAATACAATATGAACTTCAAATATGAACTTATTCCTACCTTCTTTACATTTTGCTTTCTATCTTTTCTGCCCTTTATATATATGTATGTGTGTGTGTGTTTTATGTTCTTGACTTTTAAAAATGGATTTATATAGTCTTTTGCTTGTTTTTCTCATTGCCTACTTCATGATTAAAATCATAACAGATAGTGAAATAGTAATAATATGAAGTTATTCAAAATAATTGGAAATGATAAGGGGATCAATATTTCTGCCATATACAATAATGCAATGATTGATCATTCCAATATGTAAAACAGCGAGGTGTTGGCATCAAAAGAGAAAAGTGTATCCAAGTAGACTTGAGATGTGACTGGTGTTCTGCAGAATGACTCATACTCGACCTCTGTGCTTTCTGTGCTACCAAACATTGGAACTTTAGAACTCTCAGCTTTGCCAGGGGTCTTAAGCATGTGCAAATTGGACACATTCTTGAAGGGGAGGGGATAAAGTTGAAGTGGGAAGCAGCCTCTTAGCTTCACGCCTGCCATGAAGCTCTCCACAGTTGAGTGCTGGCTGAGATATTTCATAGGGGCTTTGACAGGGCACTTTGGTTTTTTTTATTGGAGGGGTGGGTATGGGGGATTTGGGGGTTGATAATGGGGGTCTTTGAAGTCAGGATGGGGACTTGTTCTAATTTGAGTTGAATGCTCAGATTGGTAATTTCTGTATTTCTTCTGTCCTCATATTCTCATACTGAAGTTCCGTCAAAGACCATAGTTGGGTATGCATTGTTTTTGTTCTTGTTAAATTCTGTGTTTTTAAAATTCAGTTATTTTTCTTTTTATCAAAAGTTATGTAGAAGCACCTTTACAACTTCAAAAGTTAAGCCTTTTATTAATGTCTAATGTAACTTACCTGTGCCCTGTGCAGTGCTTATTTATTTTTTTTAAGATTTTATTTTTATTTATTTATCTTTAGAGGGGAAGGGAAGGAGAGAGTGAGAGAAACATCAATGTGTGGTTGCCTTTTTTTTTGTGCATCCCCTGCTGGGAACTGGCCTGCAGGGAACCAGCCTGCAACCCCGGTATATGCCCTGACTGGGAATTGAACCTCGATTGTCTGGTTCGCAGGCCTGCACTCAATCCACTGAGCTACACCAGCCAGGGCTGCAGTGCTTATTAATTGGATTGTGTTTTGACATTCTTTAAGGTTGCCAGGGTCACTTTTTATTAATATTGCATCTCTAACTCCAAAATAGTATGAGTTTGCCAATTGATAATGGTATTATTGAAAATGTGCATATTCTTTTTGTATGTGTGCTTGCTCTATTAATCACTGAGAGTAATGATTTGTTTGCTGCTGTGTGCATATACACACAAACCTTCTAAAAATGTATATTTATATATTTTTTTTCTTGGTGTTACTGGGTACACGTAGGCATGCATTTCAGAATAAAGATTGTCAAATTATTCTAGGTGAGTCAGTCAGGGTAGACACAGCATAATGGGCATATGCAGGTGGGGAGGGGGGAGGGGGCTTGATATAGCTCATTATTCCAAAGGTAAAACAGAACCTTGTATGTGCAAGAATAGGGGAGGGACATATGAGGTTGAGAGAGTCTGGGAAGGCAGCAGGACCTGGTAGAGGGCAGAGTTGGGTATGTATCTGTGCAATGTGTGGGTCCCACTGGCCTGGGAGAGTAAAGCAAGCCAGAGTGTGTGCCCTCCAAGAGGGCATAGTTAAGCAGTCAGGGCCTGGAGAGACTAGGTGGACTGGGCAGGAAATGTGGGTGGGTAGAACATGTCTCAGGGATGGGCCATGTGTGTTTGGGTGGGCTGAGAAGAGTAGCAGGTGTATTATGGAGGATGGGGCAGGACATACTGAGCTGAGCGAGTAAGTGTAAGGAAGTAGAGTCTAGCTTTTCTGAACAGTGAGGCAAGGCCTTATGCATTCAGGTGAGCAAGGTGAGACCAGATGGACTAGCCAAGTGTGTCTGGATAGAGTGGGCAAGTAGTTCCAGCCATTCCCAGGCAGGCAAGATGTAGTGTATCCAGGCAGGTGCAGAGGGCCACCTCCTTCATTTTGGCCAAGAGGTGAGGCCAGGGGTGTTCAGGCACAGTGAGCCTGTCTCCATGTACTAGTGCTGACCCAAAACCTTCCTCCCACCAACAAAAGAACCCTACTTATAATCTCTGGTCTCTGGTGAGTCCAGGACACAAGGTAAATGGAGGAGTGGAGCTAGTGTGAGTGTCTTCCCCTCAGCTCTTGCCTATAATACCCTCAGAGGCTTTGCCATGGTCCTAATGGCAAGTGCCCACTCAACCACAACTGCCTCCACTGCAGAACTCCAGGCTATCCCAGAAGTACCAGATGGTGGCAGTATCACTGGCATTTACTGCCTTTGGCAGAAGAAGAGGCATCTCAGACAACAGCCATATCTCAGCTGTTGACTGAAAAGGATCTGCCTTAGGAATGAAAACTATACAGGGACTTTTTCTTTCTTTCTTTCTTTTTAATTTAATTATTGTTCAAGTACAGTTTTCAGTCTTTTACTCCCATCCCAGCCCACCCCCCAGGGACTTTTTCATAGAGGACTTTTGACAATCAAAATCCGATGAGTGTATGGCAGAGCCACAGGGTAGAAGGATAAAGACAGTGAAGGCAGAGATGTTCAGCAATGAGGAGAATGGAGTCAGGGAGTGTTCAAAAACCATTTAAGAAACAAGTTGGGGAGATCTGTCAGCATTTTACTGGCCTACAACCCTGGATTAGTGACATGTCCAATAGGGTGCTAGCAAACATGATGCATGCAGAGGCTTAAAATATGCTTAAACATTGGGGCTTTTGCTTTTTCTGGATCTTTTGGAACCCAGTCACCATGTGAAAAACACAGCTAGCCTGCCAGTTGATGAAGATTCATGGCTCCATCAATTCTATTGACCCACCAAACTTCAAACATATGAATGAGGCCATCTAAGATTAAACAGCCACTAGCTGACTACAACTATAAGGAGAAACCCAGGCAGATCCAGCAGAACCACCCGGCTGAGCCTATCCTAATTTTAAACCTACAGAATCTTGAATTAATAAATGATCATTGTATCCATTGATTTAAAAGATGGCTTGTTACACAGTGAAGTAGTTGTTTTTGGTTTTGGTTTTGAGGAGTTCCCATTTCTGGATCCTGCACTGTAGAAGCAGAAAGTCAATATGAAGAAAGTGCAGAAATCAAAGAAAAAGGGGGAATGGAAGGTGACAAATATGGTGGAGTGAGGGGCATGGAAGCAGAGGTTGGGAGCAGAGTACAAGGCAGGGGTATAGGATTAGGGGATTCCCCTATTCCTGTCCTGACCACAGGTGTCCCACAGGAAGAGAAGAAGCAGAAACCCATGGAAATGTGGAAACATGCAAAGCAGATGGATTCCAAGGACCCAGCCCCGCTGAAGCAGTGCCTGGGATCTGGCTGTGTGAATCCCACTCGGCCAGGTTCCAAGTATTGTTCAGACTACTGTGGCATGAAGCTGGCAGCTAAGTGAGTACATCTGGAGGTTAAGCAACAGGGCTTGAGGTAGGACATGATCTACTCCAACTGTAAGTCCATTCACTCCCTACCCATTCATCCACCATTCATCCACCTACCAATGCTTACAACCACCCACCCACTGATCTACCCATCTGCCTTCTATCCACCAACCCACTCATCCGCCTTACAGTTATTTACTTACCCAGACATCTACCCATCCACCCATTCATCCACCATTTAATCACTCATTCATGAGCATTCACTCTTCTACAATTTATTATCCTGTATAATCACCATTCAGTCACTCATCTATTTCCTCTTCTTTTATTGCCCCCACCTACCCATTTTGTTTCTTGGTGTCTCCCTTTCCAGACGCATCTGTGAGATCCTGCCCCAGCGCATACATCAGTGGCAGAAGAGCCCTCACGTTGCTGAAGAGCATAGCAAGAAAATGCTCGAGAGAATCCTCCGTGAGCAGCAGGATGCTCGCACTTACCTAAAGAAGATGGAGCATCAGTTCCATGAACTTGAGGATATCATTATGCGTGGCAAGCAGCAGACTGTATGCAATGATGAGGAGGTGAGTGGGAATAGGTAGGGTGTAGTAGAAATGTACCTGGTATCTTGTCTTGCCCATCCCCATTTTGCTCTGCTTTACTGGTTCCTCTATTGTCCTGTGTAGATCACCAGATTTATGGACAAAGCCCGCCAGGAGATCTTCTGTGTCTCCTGTGGGGAATCTGTCCGTATAAAGGTCGCCCTGCGCCACATGGAGCACTGCTTTGCCAAGGTTGGGGCATTGGCTGTGGGCTGATGGGGCAAGGGTGTTTTTAGCTGGGCGGGTTTCATGAGGAGGGGGACAGGTTTGGCGCCTGGGTGTTTGTTGTAGAAAGGACTACAACATACATCCATGGTTCTACTCATTTGTGCTTTTCTTCCACCCCCAGTATGAGGGCAAATTTGGGGTCATCAGTCAGTGGAGAGGAGGGCTATTGGCTGGGCAAATAGGAGCCTAGGGTCCATGGGGGACAAATGTATTGTTTGGGGCTTTTTCATGGGAGGGGATGTGGTGTACTTCCACAGTTCCTCCCATTTGTAATCTTTCTTCCTAGTATGAGTGCAAATCGTCCTTTGGGTCCTTGTACCCCACTTGCATTGAAGGGTGAGTGTGGGTGCTGGTCAGGGTCAAAGACATGATGTGGACAGGGTTAGGAATAGGGTGGGCAAGATCATGGGCAAGATGTGGGTGGGCTTAGAGGCAGAGGTGGGTGGATTCAAGGTAGGATATGGGTAAGGTTGGGAACAAAGTATGGACAGGGTTCAGGATGGGACCTCCCTTCTCCTGACCTTTAGCACCTCACTTTCAATCTCTCCCCAGGGCCACAAGGCTCTTCTGTGACTTTTATGACCCAAAGAGTAAGAGGTACTGTAAGCGGCTCCAGGTGCTGTGCCCTGAGCACTCAAAGGACCACAAGGTGGGACTCTTTCTCACCCTCCATTCCTTCCATCCTCCCTGTCTGACCACCCTATTCCTCTCTTCATCTCTGCTTGAATGCCTCTTATTTCCTTCTTCCTTTTGCCTGACTGCCTTCATACCACCTGACCAACTAACCCCTATGTTCTTCCCTTGCTGACTACCCCACATTCCCCACTCTTCACTGCCTGGTCACCTTCTGTTCTTACTTTTCTCTTTGCCTAACTGCTATTTATTCATACCCTCCTTGCCTGACCCCCACCCACATTTCTCTCTTTCTGCCTGACCACCCTCTATTCCTCTGCTCCTCACTGCATTCTCCACTTTCCTTGCTCAACCATCTTCCATTCCTTTCCTACCCTTTGTCCTACTGCCTCCATTCCTCTCTACCTCTCTGCATGGCTGCCCTCAACTCCTTTCACACTTTCTGATCTCCCTCCATTCTAATTTTCGTTGCTTCACTGCCCCTAATCACCTTTTCCCTGATTGTCATCTCCTAAATCTTATCTTTCTCCCTGTTTATTCAGCTTCCTTTCCCACCTTCCCTGCCTCATTCCTCACGTTCTTCATGCTGTGCCAACCCTCATTCATCTACTTCTCCTTGTCAGATCTTCCTCCACTCTTCCTCTCCTTCCTGTTTGATTTCTGTTTTTCTGTCCTGTCCAATCACCTCCATTCCTCCATCCCTGCTTAACTTCTTCCTCCACCCTCCATGCTTGATCATCCCCTTTTGCCCCCTCTTCTTTACCTAACCAGAGAATTTCTTTCTTCCTCCCTGGTGTGTCACTCTTCATTTCTCTCCTTCATGCCAAACTGCCCTCCATTCCCCTGTTCTCCTCATTATGCCTACCTGATCACCCTCTATAAATGACTTCCTCCATACCTCATCATTCTTCATTTTCCCCCACAGGTACCAGATGATGAGGTGTGTGGTTGCCCACTAGTGCGCAATGTCTTTGAATTCACTGGTGATTTCTGTCGCCTCCCCAAACGCCTGTGCAACCACCACTACTGCTGGGAAAAGCTGAGGCGTGCTGAGGTGGACCTAGAGCGCATACGAGCGGTAAGCTACAATGCTGAGTGAAGCTGTGAGGTGGGATAGAATCCTGGAATCCCCTTCTCATGCTGACCTTCCACAGCTGTACAAGCTGGAAATGCTGAGTGAGCAGGAGGGCAAGGTACGCACAGCTATGAAGAACCGGGCAGGTCTGTTGTCCCTGATGCTTCACCAGACAATCCAGCATGACCCACTCACCACTGACCTGCGCTCCAGAATAAATGACTGAGCCCTGTCCTGTACCCAACATCCTGTGCAAGGATGGCACTCAATGAATTCCTCACACATGTTTCTTTAACCACTTCTTTCTCAGGGCATCTCAGCGTGTCTCTGTATTTCTGTTTATCATTTGCTCTCCTGCTTCTGTCTATCCTTTTATGGGAGGGTATCCTCAAAATTGTTCCCGGTTTCTGTTCATTCTTCCATCCATGAATCTGGAATGGACCAGGGGAATCTTCTCTACTCTCATTTCCCACTGCCCGGAGTTTTGTTTATAAACTTTGGAAGAACAAAGTCTTTTCATATCTCCTGATGATCCCTAAACCCATCTGTCTGGCCACAAATCCAATTCTGGAACTCCAGTGGCAGTGGGAAACAGTGCAACTGTATTTAGGAACAGGCTGCAGTGCCCTTGCAGGGGTGGGTATGAAGTGATGCCCACTCAGTGGGTCCTATTCTGTCAAAGGAACTGGGACTTTATGAGGGGGAACTGACAGCGCTGACCATTGTTCCCTGTAGTCCCCATCCCAGGCCATCAAGTATATAGTTAGTGCCTGATTAGTGCACAGCCGATTCACTAACTGTGTATTTGTTAATACTTCCTTAGGGCAAAGGTGTTAGGTAAATGTTGGGATAGGGGATAGGTGAGTGTGGAATAGTCCTCCCTGATGCTTCCACTTTGGGATACTGAGGAGAATTCAAGGTGTCGTGACAATCATGCCCTGCCCCCTCATACCTTGTTCTATCCCTGACCATCATATGAGGTCCCAGCCTATCCAGTTATGGTCAGACTGTCTCCCCTCAGCCCTGCTCATCGCATCCTGTCCTCCTCCCCCTCACACCCTGCTCTGGCTCTGCCCTTTCCAGCCTGTCCTATCCATCAAGTCTCCATCCAGCCAACCCCATTTCAGACTTATAGGGTTGCCAGAAGGGGGCTGGGACCTCTGCCACTTCTGCTTTGCCAGCTCCAACCAGGACTCCTGTTCCAGTAGAGGTGTGTCTGTAATGCTGCCTCTGAGTACTGGTCCCTTAATAATTTTTAAATTAATTTTCACAATTACATTTTTCCCCAGGGACTCACATATTTCACCAAATGTTTAAGTATAGGCTTTAGACTTATACTTCACATTTCACTGAAACTAGTTTATATTACTACTGATTTGGTACAATATCTCGTTTTTATTATGAATGTTGTATTTTTTTCTTTCTTTTCAATTTGATCAGATGTGTTAGGAGCTGGTTCATATAATTAAATATTTGAAAGGACCAGCTCTTATTTTATTTATACTCCCTAAGTTTATTTTTTATTTATTTAAGAATTACTTTTAATGAATTGCAACTTCTTGAGTTTTAGTTTTGTGATTCATTTTCATGTTTTTGCATAAGTTCTTTTCCTAATTTATTTTTCATTTTTATTATATTTATTGGGGTAACATTGGTTAATAAAATTGTGTAAATTTCAGGTGTACATTATAATATATCTGCATACTCTGTGTGCTTACCACCCAAAGTCTAGTCTACTTCCATTACCATGTATTTGAACCTGTTTATTCCCTTTGTCCTCCCCGAACCCCCTTCCCCTCTGGCAAACACCATTCTGTTGTCTGAGTTTATGAGTTTCTTTTTTGTTTGTTCAGTTGTTGGTTTTTGTTTTATATCCCACATATGGATGAAATCCAAATTTTTAACCTAATTGCTCTTAATTTCCCAGTTTTTTATCCTAATGAATTTGAGTCTATACACTTTCTTCTAAATATAGTTGTAGTTCATAAACTCTGAAATGAAAGGTGCAATTTCAGAACTGATTTATCATTTTGACCCTAGCTATTGAGGGAAGTGTCTTTGTAGTTAAGTGGTTCTTTCTTTCTTTCTTTCTTTCTTTCTTTCTTTCTTTCTTTCTTTCTTTCTTTCTTTCTTTCTTTCTCTTTTTTGTAATATAGTTTTCCTGTAATCAGAGAATGTAGCTGTTGAATATGAATTTGTAAGCATTATTCAAGATTTTCTTTGTGGTGTGGATACTCAAATTAATTTTGTAAAACTTCTATGGATATAAGAGAAGAAACTATATTCTCTGTTAGGTATGGATTACTCATTACAACTTTTCAATCTAGTTTGATGACGAAGTATTCTTTACCCTGATGTTTTACTTTTTGTCTACTTTAGCTGTTATATTATCAAAAGATACAATAAATGTTATATTTTAAACAAATTGCTTCTTGTGGTTCTGTGGGCTTCTTGAAATGGGAGTGGGGAAAGGGAATTCTAAAGTGTATATATTAGGCCATTTTACACAAATACCATTAATATATTTTTCTGGTTTTGCCTTAGTGTTTGTTTGTTTGTTTTTTTTTTTTTTTGGGTAGTCAGAGGTGTTTTATTGGCCAAAGTTTCAAAGTTTTACCTGCGCAGGGGTGAACTCTCGGGGTGCCTCCGGAGACACACGAGTGCCAAAATGGCTGCAAATGAGAGTCGCCTGCCTTAGTGTTTTTTATCTTGAATTTTCCTCTGATAAATACAACACAACTGTTGCTTTTATTTTGCTGCCACTTACCTAGTGAATCTTTGCCTAAAACTTTGTGTTTTTCCCTTTAAAATACATTTCTTGTAACCATATATTAGTACATTTTGCCCTAATCCCACATTTGTGTCTTGAGATTCAGTCCATTTATTTAAATTCATGTAATTATAATAATTATATATTTTATATTGTATTATGCTTATTATCAATTTTACTATTTCCTAAGTACAGCTTTTATCCTTTTTTTCTTCCTAATATCTTTTTTTAAGATTTTATTTATTTTTAGAGACAGGGGAAGAGAGGAAGAAAGAGGGGGAGAGAAACATTGATGTGCAAGAGATACGTCAATTGGTTTCCTCTCATATGCCCCCAACTGGGGACCTGGCCTACAACCCAGGCATGTGCCCTGAGTGGGAATCAAATCAGGAACCCTTTGGTTCACAGGTTGGCACACAATCCACTGAGCTACACTAGCCAGGGCTGTTGGATATTATTCTAGTTTATTCATTTTGACTCTTGTTGATGAGCATCCATTTTTTGTTTCCAGGTTTTGCTGTTGTGAACTGGATGCCACGCATATGCTAGGTTTCATGTGCAAGTGTTACTCTTGAATATATCCATAGAGAGGCCTGGCTGGATTGTGAGGTATATAAATATTCACTGTAGGACAGAATGCCAACTATTTTCTTTTTAAAAAATATTTTTAGCCCTAGCTGCTCAGTGTATTGAGCATGAGCTGTGGATCAAAGGGTTGCTGGTTCAATTCCCACTCAGGGCACATGCCTGGGTTGTGGGCCAGGATCCCCGGTGGGGGCCATGTGAGAGGCAACCACACATTAATGTTTCTCTCCCTCTCTTTCTCCCTCCTTCCCCCTCTCTCTAAAAACAAATAAATAAAATATTTAAATATATTTTATTAAAAATAAAGTGTGTTATGCTTTATACAATCTTTAGGAATTATAGTATTTTTTCCCGTAATATTCATCCATATTGTTGGGTATTATTTTTTTTTAATCATTTCTAGAGATTTTATTTATTTATTTATTTATTTATTTATTTATTTATTTATTAAGATTTTATTTATTTATCTTTAGAGGGGAAGGGACGGAGAGAGGGAGAGAAACATCAGTGTACGGTTGCCTTTCGTGCATCCCCTGCTGGGAACTGGCCTGCAGGGAAGCAGCCTGCAACCCAGGCATGTGCCCTGACTGGGAATCGAACTGCAATTGTCTGGTTCGCAGGCCCGCGCTCAATCCACTGAGCTACACCAGCCAGGGCTATTTATTTTTTTAGAGACAGGGGAAGAGAGGAAGAAAGAGGGGGAGAGAAACATCAATGTGTGAGATTTACATTGATTGGCAGCCTCTCACACACCCCCAACTAGGGACCAGGCCACAACCCAGGCATATGCCCTGACTGGGAATTGAACTGATGACATCTCAGTTCGCAGGCTAACACTCAGTCCACTGAACCACACCAGCCAAGGCAACTATTTTCTAAAGTGGTTTCACTCATTTACATTTCTTCAACAAGGCAGAAAGATACTGTGGGTGCATATCCTCTCCAACACTTGGTATTATCGGATACATTTTTGCAAATTGAATAAGTAAGTGTAAAATGTCATCTCATCATGTCCTGATTTGTATTTCCCTGATTACTAATGGCTTTGAACATTTCTGCATATGTTTATTGGCTCTCCTTTCCTTCTTCTCTGAAATGGTCTAACAGATAGACCTATTTTTTAACATAAACTAGTACTATTATGACGCTCAACAACATTAACAATGATTCTGGGCACTGTATTAGAAATGTATACGTGCCAAATGTACTTCTGCTGATTCCATTTCTTCTTTCATTTATGTATCCAACAAACACCTAGACCAAGGATATAGGGGACCCCTCAAAACACCTTCCTCACTTGAGGATTCAGAAAGACCTTCAGCAGAGCACAGAGCTTTCTACCTCTGTCTGGAGGATTCCCTGGAGGAGGAGATGTTTGAACTTGGTTTTGAAGTGTAAGTAGGCATTCCCAGGTGAAGGGCAACATGACTTCTTCCCCTTTTGCCCCCATGATATCTCCCAGAAGGGCCAGGCATCTCCAGAATTTCTGTATTGGAGATAAGGGCAAACTGGTTGAAGGGCAGAAGCAACCTTGTCTTAAAAGCTACATTTGCAAAGTAAGGGCATTATCGTTTAATAGATTTTATTTTATGAAGAAATAAAATAATAGTTTCCTAAGGACGTTTTTATCGACATATTGCATTAAGTTAGGAAAAAATAAATTACTATTGGCACACACTTTTATTTCAGCTTGGGTAGCTGAAGTGGAAGATAATGTAGATTATGGGAGCATTCAAATTCCAGTCAGCTTACACAAGGCCTACACATCCCTGATTTATTTTCCTTCTCCCCTCGTGGTATGTTCCAGGAGAAGCCACTTGCCCTCTCCCCACTTCTCATCCTGTGGTATTTGCCAGGAGATGACAGGGACCGGCACTTCTGCGTCTTTCCAGAGGCCCCTCGGCTTCTCTGAATATTATTACACAGATACATAGAGTAGAGCTCCAAAGACCCCTCCCTCCTTCAGAAAGCCCGCTCAGAGAAATGTCCCAAACTCTGCTCCCCGCCACCTGTGAGACGGATTCACCGCTCGGCTCTGTGACTTTAGAGGTTTCTTCATCCTCAGTACGGAACGGGCACTCCTTCAACATGGTGTACCCCACAAAGAAGGGCGAACTGGGTGCGGCCATGTTTCCCACCGGTGCCAAAAGGCACCAAAAGCCCCAAAGCACCGACTGCAGAACATCTCCAGGTTGACTCGGGTGACAGCAGCTTCAAATGTGGGTTTGCGCATGTGCAAAACCACGCTCCCCCGCCCCTAATCCCGAGAAGGGGCGGTGCTAGGGGTTCCGACCGGAAGTGGCTGTGGTTTTCAGTAGTTGTTGTCTAGAGAATCTCCATGCTCTTCGCCGAGGTGTTTCGCTGTGGTAAGGCCCTGGGGAGGGTGAGTGTTGGGGAATTTTGTGTGGTCAGTGATGGACTTGATTGTTTGACTATAGTTAGATGGTTAGCTATTTTTCATTATTTTCTCTTCTCATATTGATATTAAGGTCTTAAAGTTCACTCAGACCCACAAGGTTTGGTGAATTATGTTCTAAGTATTTTCTAAGAGTTGATAATTTTTCTTTTGCCCCTGAGTTATTTAGAAATGCGTTTTCAGTTTCCAAAAGTTTATCTATTTAATAGTTTTCTAACCTTAGAAAAATGTGGTCCAAAAAATGCCTACGGAAAGCCCATTACTTGAAATATGAAGGGATGCATGGCCTACTACATGGTGAATTTTTATAAATGTTTCATATATCACTTGACAATACTATTTAATTATTTAGCTGTCAGTTGTGTTGTACAAGATTTGTACACTTTTTTGTTTGCTTCTTTCTTGGAAAGAGAAATTTTCTACTGTGGTGCTGATTTGCCCACCTATCCTTCCTGCTGTCCATGATCCATTTGAGTTATGCTTCATATGAAGTGTGAGACTTAGATTGAGGTTCATTTGGTTGAATGTCCAATTACTCCAGTATCGTTTATTGAAAAGACTATTCTTCCTCTGTTTATATGTTTTGCACCTCGGTCAAAAATAAATTTGCCATATTTGTGTGGGACTATTTCAAGGTTCTCTATCATGAATAGCTGTGTTGAATTTTGTCTTACTGTATGAATTTATATGATCTCATAATTTTTTATCTTTGGCCTGTTAATATGGAGAAGTACACTGGTTGAGTTTTGAATATTGAACCAGCCTTACATTCCTAGAATAAACCTCACCTGATTGTGGTGTATAATTCTTTTTATGTATTGCAGGAATTGATTAGCTGATACTTTTTTGAGGATTTCTGCATCTAAGTTCATGAGAAATGTTGGTCTACAGTTTTCCTTTTTTATACTGTCTTCGTCTGGTTTTAGTATTAGGGTATCATAGAATGAGTTGGGAAGTGTTCTCTTCTATTTTCTGGAAGAGATTGTGTAGAATTATGCTAGATGTTTGGTAGAATCCTCCAGCGAAACCATCTGGGCCTGGAAATTTTCTTTTGGGAGCTTTTTTATTGTCTTCAATTTCTGTAGAAGTTATATTACTATTCAGATTACCTAGTTAATATCTTTTCAGAGTAACTATTTAATAGTGGGTGAATTGTGCAAGTTTGTGTTTTGTGAGGAATTGGACCACTTCATCCAAGACGTTTAATTAATGTGCATGAAGTTGTGTGTGGTATTCCTTTTCTTTTGAGTGGCTGCAAGAGCTATAGTTCTATCTCCTCTTTCATTTCTGATATTGGTAATTTGTATCTTCTTTTTATCTTTGTCAATTTTGCTGGTGGATTACCAATTTTATCAAGGTTTTTGAAGAACCAGCTTTGGCTTTCATTTTCTGTATTGTTTTTCTGTTTCCAATTTGATTGATTTTTGCTGTTATGTTTATTACTTCTTTCCTTCTGCTTGTTTTGAGTTTACTCTTGTTCTAGTTTCTTGAGGTAGCAACTTAGATTATTGATTTAAGACCTTAATTATTTTCTAATAAAACATTTAAATTTATAAATTTTTCTTTCAACACTGCTTTATCTACATCTGACAAATTTCATTTATATTTTCATTTTCATTCATTACTTTTTAATTTCCTTTGAAACTTCCTCTTTGATCCATGGATTATATAGAAATGTATTGTTTAATTCCCAAGTGTTTGGAGACTTTCCTGTTATCTTTTTCTTATTGATTTCTAGTGCAATACTATTATAACAAAAGAACATATGCTTTAAGATTTCAATTTGTTGAGGTTTGTTTTATGACCCTGGATATGGTATGTGTTGGAGATTGTTGCATGTGTGCTTTAAGAGAACATGTATTCTATTAGTGTTTAGGTGGAGTAGGGTGGGTATGTTCAGTTAGGCCACACTTTTTTTGGTCCTTTGATTAAGGGGAGGAGGCTTTTTCTTATAACATTTTTTTTTGTCTGTGGCTATTGATAATTTTGAGTTATAGGCTTCTCCAGTTATATACGGGAAGGGAAATGAAATATGTAGAACTCACCACTGTGTTGTTCTCCCCACCCCGAGGTCTGTGGGCTCTCCGCTTTTCATTTCTACCTTTCAGTCTCTTTATTTGTTGTATTGTCATTTTTGTTCTGGTCTCTTCTACATTCATTGTTGTCTCCTATATTTCTCCTCTGTGAAATGTTTTAATTTATATTTTTCTAGGGAAGCACCTGTTTCACATCAATATTAAAGTATGTTGCTATGCATTTATACATAGTATCTGCAATAACTAATTTGAACCACTGCCATATCTGGGAGAGATTTTTCCTCTCTCATTGTATATATGTAATATTTAAACATTTCTCCTTTATCTGGTTTGCTAATGGGTTATCTTATGATGTTGAATCTCAAAGATGGAAGTCTTTGTTGGATTTCAGCTCCCTATTGCTGTCTTATTTCTTTTTTTAAAATATATTTTATTGATTATATCACTACAGTTGTCCCATTCCCCCCTTCATTCCCCTCCACCCTGTACACCCTCCCCCACCATTCTCCCCCCCACCATTCCCCCCCTTTAGTTTATGTCCATGTGTCACAAGTTCTTTAGATTCAGTGTTTCCCATGCTATTCTTGCCCTCTACCCTGTTTATTTTCTACCTACCATCTATGCTATTTATTCTCTGTATCTTTTCCCTCCCTCCTCCACCCACTCCCCTGTTGCTAACCCTCCATGTGATCTCCATTTGTATGGTTCTGCTCCTGATCTAGCTGTCCTCTTAGTTTGCTTTTGTTTTAGGTGTGGTTGTTAGTAACTGTGAGTTTGCTGTCCTTTCACTGTTCATCTTTTCTATCTTCTTTTTCTTAAGTAAGTCCCTTTAACATTTCATATAATAAGGGCTTGGTGATGATGAACTCCTTGAATTTGACCTTATCTGAAAAGCACTTTATCTTCCTTTCCTTTCTAAATGAAAGCTTTGCTGAATAGAGCAATCTTGCATGTAGGTCTTTGGATTTCATGACTTGGAATACTTCTTTCCAGCCCCTTCTTCCCTGTAAGGTCTCTTTTGAGAAATCCGCTGATGGTCTGTTGGGAACTCCTTTGTAGGTGACTGTCCCCTTATCTCTTGCTGCTTCTAGGATCCTCTCCTTCCTTTTAATCTTGGGTAATGTAATTCTGATGTGCCTTGGTGTGTTTCTCCTTGGGTCCAACTTCTTTGGGACTCTCTGAGCTTCCTGGACTTCCTGGAAGTCTCTTTCCTTTGCCAGATTGGGGAAGTTCTCCTTTGTTATTTGTTCAAATAAGTTTTCCACTTGTTGCTCTTCCTCTTCCCCTTCTGGTACACCTATAATTCGGATGTTGGAATGGCTAAAAATGCTCAGGAGGTTCCTAAGCCTCTCCTTATTTTTTTGAATTCTTGTTTCTTCATTCTTTTCTGTTTAGTTGTTTCTTTCTTCCTTCTGGTCCACTCCCTTGATTTGAGTCCCAGTTTCCTTTCCATTACTATTAGTTTCTTGTGCATTTCCCTTCATTTCACTTAGTTTAGCCTTCATTTGTTCCTGTAATTTGTGACTAAAATCAACCAGTTCTGTGAGCATCCTGATCACCAGTGTTTTGAACTGTGCATCTGATAGGTTGTCAATCTCTTGGTCACTTAGAAGTATTGGCTCTGGGGCTTTGAGCTGTTCTTCTTGAGCCATAATGTTTTGGTCTGTTCATGCCTGTTGTGTATGAGGGGTGGAGCCTTAGTTGTTCACCAGGGTGGGGCAGCCCAGTTGCTGGGTTGTGAGGCTCTATGTGGGGGCAGGTTCAGAGAGGGGCAGTAGCATCTGTTCTGCTCTCTGTTGGATTTCGGTCCCCTCTGCTGCTTCCTGCAAGCAAATTGGGCCCGCCTGGTGCTGGTTCCCGGGTGTATGGGCTTTTGCCCTTCCCAGAACCCTGTGGGTCTCTCCAACGAACTCTCTGTGAGCCTGGGAGCTTCTCCCAGCACCTCAACCCCGAAAGTTTTTCCAATTGGTGCTTTTAGGCTTTAATTCCCGTCGCTGGGACCCTGGTTTGCACAATCTGTCTCACTGCTTGCTCCTTTGCCTGGTTTATCTGCATGTGAATGTGTGACCACAGTCACCCAGTTGCCACCCACTGGGTCCACCTGTTGCCACCCCACACCTGGGATCTGCCAACTGCCACCTGCATGCCTGGGTTGGTCAGGCTGCTTTTTCCTGGGCTACCCTGCTCCACCAACCACTGACTCCGCCCCTCCTACTGGTCTGGATGAATGGTTCATAGTTGTCAGACTTCCATACAGTTCAATTTTCTCTGTTTTGGTTGCATTTTTGTTACTAAAACTTTGTTGTCTTTAAACTTCGTTGTGCGAGGAGGCACTGTGTTTCCACCTACGCCTCCATCTTGGCCGGAAGTCTCTGTTTTATTTCTTTAAGATGTTATTTTTAATAAGTGCTACTTTCATTTTACGGAGGTTTGTTTAATTTTTTTTCTACTTCTAATGTTTTAGGATGAACACATAGCTCTTTAATATTTATTTTACATGAAAAATAAAGGCATTTAAAGCTGTAAATTTCATTCTCTATATAACTTTGGTGTGTTCTATGACTTCTGGTGAAGATGGTGTGTCCTCTGTATTGATTTCCCACTTTGCTCCTGGGTTATTTAGGAAAGTGTTTCTTTTTTTAAAAAACAGACTTATTTAGCCCTGGCTGGGTGGCTCAATTGATTGGAACAACCAAAAAGGACTCAGTCCCTGGTCAGGGCACCACACTCAGGTTGTGTATTTGATCCCCAGATGGCCCAAGTATGGGAGGCAACTGATCGATGTTTTCCTCTCACATTGATGTTTCTACCTCTCGCCCTCCCCACCACTTTCTCTCTCTCTAAAAATAAATAAACATAACCTCGGGTGAGGACTAAAAAAACAGACTTACTTGGATATATTCCAATACCATCAAATTCACCCATTTAAAGTATGCAATTCAGTGGGGGGTTTTAAAAAGATTTTACTTATCTATCTTTAGCGGGTAAGGGAAGGAGAGAGGGAAAGAAACATCAATGTATGGCCGCCCTTCGGTGTCCCCCACTGGGAAATGGTTTGCAACCCAGGCATGTGCCCTAACTGGGAATCAAGCCCTGATTCCCTGGTTTTCAGGCCCACGCTCAATTTACTCAGCTATACCAGCCAGGACCAATTCAGTGGTTTTTACTACATTCACAGAATTATGAAGTCATGAAATTTCTGGCCAAGATGGAGGCATAGGTAGATACACTTTGCCTCCTCACACAACCAAAAAAAGGGCAACAACACATTTAAATACCAAAAAAAAAAACCAGAACTGGCAGAAAATTGAACTATATGAAAGTCCGACAACCAAGAAGTTTAAGAAGAAACATTCATTCAGAGTAATAGGAGGGGTGGAAATGGGCCGCTGGACTGGAGAGGACAAGCAACAAGGGAGTGGCTGGCGGAACTGGCAGTCTGATGTTTACATGCAGATAAACCAGAAGGAACAGCTGGGGAGCAAGATAGATGGCACAACCCCGGGTTCCAGCATGGAGAAATAAAGCCTCAAAACCTCTGGCTGTAAAAAAGTCTTGTGGGGGTTGCGCTTTTGGCAGGAACTTCCAGCTTCAAAGGAGAGTTCATTGGAGTGACCCATAGGGTCCTAGAATATACACAAGCCCACACACCCAGGAATAAGCACCACTAGGGCCCAATTTGCTTCTGGGTAGCAGGGGAAGTAACTGAAAGCTGGGCAAGAGCCAAGCAGGCAGCATTGTTCCCTCTCTGACCCCTCCCCCACATACAGCACCACAGTGCAACCAAGTGGGTTGCCACACCCTGGCGAATACCTAAGGCTCTGCCTCTTACAACCTACAGGTGCTCCATGACAAAGAAATATGGCCCAAATGAGAGAACAGATCAAATCTCCAAAAATACGACTAAGTGATGAAGAGATACCCAACCTGTCTGATGCAGAGTTCAAAACATTGGTAATCAGGATCCTCATAAAAATGGTTGAGTATGGTTGCAAAATAGAGGAAAAAGTGAAGGTTATGCAAAGTGAATAAAGAAAAATATAATAAAGGCCCTGGCTTCTGTAGCTCAGTGGACTGAGCGCGGGCTTTGAACCAAAGGGTTGCCGGTTCGATTCCCAATCAGGGCACATGCCTGGGTTGCAATGCAGGCCAGGTCCCCAGTGGGGTCCATGTGAGAGGCATCCACACACTGATGTTTCTCTCCTTCTCTTTCTCCCTCCCTTCCCCTCTCTCTAAAAATAAATAAATAAAATATTTTAAAAAAATATACATGGGACCAACAGTGAAGGGAAGGAAACTGGGGCTCAAATCAAGGATTTGGAACAGAAGGAAGAAATAAACATTCAACCAGAACAGAATGAAGAAACAAGAATTCAAAAAAATGAGGAGAGGCTTACGAACCTCTGAGACAACTTCAAACATTCCAGCATCCAAATCTGATAAGAACAGATACTACACTTGATCTTAGCCAAAAAGCTGAGAATTGATCCAGCATCCAAATCATAGGAGTGCCAGAAGGAGAACAGGAAGAGCAAGAAATTGAAAAACTATTTGAAAAATAATGAAGGAGAACTTCCCTAATCTGGCAAAGGAAATAGACTTCCAGGAAGTCCAGGAAGCTCAGAGAGTCCCAAAGAAGTTAGACCCAAAGAAGCATACACCAAAGCACATCATAATTACATTACCCAAGATTAAAGATAAGGAGAAAAATCTTAAAAGTAGCAAGAGAAAAGGAGACAGTTACCTACAAAGGAATTCGCGTAAGACTGTCAGCTGATCTCTCAAAAGAACCCTTGCCAGCAAGAAATGGCTGGAAAGAAGTATTCAGAGTCATGAAAGGGAAGGATGTACATTAAAAATTACTGTATCTGGCAAAGTCATCACTTAGAATGAAAGGGCAGATACAGTGTTTCCAAGATAAGGTCAAGTTAAAGGAGTTCATCACCACCAAGTCCTTATTATACGAAATGTTGAAGGGACTTATCTTAGAAAAACAAGATCAGAACTATGAACAGTAAAATAACAGGAAACTCACAATTACTAACAACCACACCTAAAATAAAAACAAACTAAGGAAACAACTAGAACAGGAATAGAACCACAGAAATGGAGATCACATGGAGGGTTATCAGTGGGGAGCGGGGACAATAGGGGGAAAGGTACAGGGAATAAGAAGCAGAAATGGTAGGTACAAAATAGACAGAGGGGGTTAAGAATAGTAGAAATGCAGAAGGCAAAGAACTTATATGTACAATTCAAGGACATGAACTAAGTGGGGAATGAGGGTGGAAGGGTGTGTGCAAATGGGAGAGAATAAAGAAGAGAGAAATAGTGGGACAACTGTAATAGCATAATCAGTAAGATATACTTTTAAAAAAAGAATTGTGCACTCATCAACACTATCTTTAGAATACTTTCAACCTATACACATTAGTATTTACCCATTTTAGGCATTTCACATAAATATAGTAACAAAATACATGGTCTTCTGTGACTAGGATCTTTCACATAAGATAATGATTTCAAGGGTCATTCAAGTTGCAGCATGTAACAGTACTTTTTCTTGCCAAATAATATTTTATTGTATACGTATACCACACCTGTTCATTGATTCAACAGTTGATGGACATTTAAGGTGGTTTCTATTTTTGACTATGAATAATAGTGCTGTAAATATTTGTGTACAAGTTTTTGAGTAGACATGTGTTTTCATTTTTCTTAGGTAGGTACCTTGGAGTGGAACTGCTGGATCATATGGTGACTCTGTGGGTAATGTTTTGCCAAAATGTTTTTCAAAATGGCTGCATTATTTTAAAATTCTAACAGCAATGTAGGAGAGCTCCAGTTTATGCATACCTTACCAACACTAGTTACTGTCTTTTTTCCCTTAGTTTTGCTATTCATTTCTTTCATTAAATTTTTTTATTTCTGTTGTTCAATTATAGTTGTCCCCATTCCCCCCCATTCCCCTCCCCTGCCCTACCTACCCCTACCTCCCACATTCAATCCTATTTCCCATTGTCTTTGTTCATGGGTCCTTTATACATGTTACTTGAGTTGACCCTTCACCTTCTTTCCCGTTATCCCTCTCCCTGCTCTTATTTATGCTATTTTAATGGATATGAATGGAAATTTTTTATTTTGATTGCATTTTTCTTAATTCCCAACATTAAAACATCTGCCAGATTTTCTTTGTGGACAAGTTATTTGATGGAATTTTGTACAAGTTCCATGGGCATAAGAAAAGAAAGCATATTATCTCTTTCTTTGATACAACATTGCCTTCATATTTTAAATTTTTAACTTGTGCATGCCTTTTATTTTATTTTTATTTAATCTTTTTAAATATATTTTATTAGTTATGCCATTAGTTGTTCTTTTTCCCCCCTTCATTCCCCTCCACTCTGTACACCTGCTCCCCAACCATACCCCCTTTAGTTTATGACCACGTGTCTCAAGTTCTTTAGATTCTATATTTCCCATACTATTCTTGCCCTCCCCCTATCTATTTTCTACCTACCACCTATGCTACTTTTTTCTGTACCTTCTCCCCCCTTCTCCTTCTCCCACTCCCCCTCCCCTGTTGCTAACCCTCCATGTGATCTTCATTTCTATGGTTCTGCTCCTGATCTAGCTGTCCTCTTAGTTTGCTTTTGTTTTAGGTGTGGTTCTTAATAACTGTGAGTTTGCTGTCCTTCACTGTTCATCTTTTTTATCTTCTTTTTCTTAGGTAAGTCCCTTAAACATTTCATATAATAAGGGCTTAGTGATGATGAACTCCTTGAATTTGATCTTATCTGAGAAGCACTTTATCTGCCCTTCCATTCTAAATGAAAGCTTTGCTGGATAGAGCAATCTTGCATGTAGGTCTTTGGATTTCATGACTTGGAATACTTCTTTCCAGCCCCTTCTTGCCTGTAAGGTCTCTTTTGAGAAATCAGCTGACAGTCTGATGGGAACTCCTTTGTAGATGACAGTCCCCTTATCTCTTGCTGCTTCTAGGATTCTCTCCTTCATTTTAATCTTGGGTAATGTAATTCTGATGTGCCTTGGTGTGTTCCTCCTTGGGTCCAACTTCTTTGGGACTCTCTGAGCTTTCTGGATTTCCTGGAAGTCTCTTTCCTTTGCCAGATTGGTGAAGTTCTCCTTTATTATTTGTTCAAATAAGTTTTCCACTTGTGGCTGTCTTTTCCTTCTGGTACCCCTATAATTCGGATGTTGGAATGTTTAAAGATGCCCAGGAGGTTCCTAAGCCTCTCCTCATTTTTTTGAATTCTTGTTTCTTCATCCTTTTCTGTTTGGTCATTTTTTTCCTCCTTCTGGTCCACTCCTTTGATTTGAGTCCCAGTTTCCTTTCCATTACTATTGGTTTCCTGTCTATTTCCCTTCATTTCAATTAGTTTAGCTTTCATATGTTCCTGTAATTTGTGACTAAAATCAACCAGTTCTGTGAGCATCCTGGTCACCAGTGTTTTGAACTGTGCATATGAAAGTTTGGCTATTTCTTCATTGCTTAGATTTATCAGCTCTGGGGCTCTGAGTTTTTCTTGAGCCATGTTTTGATCTGTTTGTGCCTGTTACATGTGAGGAGTGGAGCCTTAGGTGTTCACCAGGGTAGGGCCACCCAGGTCACTGGTTTTTGACGCTGTATGTGGGGGCGGGGTCAGAGAGGGACAATGGCGGTTCCCTCTGCCGTTTCCCACCACTGGGGCCTGCGCGGTCCATCTCACCACCACTAGCTCCTTCACTAGTTTATCTGCGCACGAATGTGTGACCGAGATCGGCCCTGAGTGGGTCCACCCGCTTCTCTACACCTGGGATCTACCCACGGCTGCTGGCACACCTGGAACTCGCACTCCAGTTGGTCCAGTGGATCTTTCCTGCCCGACCCTGCTCTGCTGCTGGCTCTGCCCCTCTTACCGGTTTGGCTGAAGGGTTCATTGTTGTCAGACTTCCGTGTAGTTCAATTTTCTGTGGTTTGGCTGCGTTTATGTTGCTAAAACTGTTGTTTTTAAACTTGGTTGTGTGAGAAGGCGCAGTGCTTCCACCTATGCCTCCATCTTGGCAGAAGTCTCCAGCAGTTACTATTTAGTCGTTATTGTATTTTTCCATTACCATTTAGTCCTCTTGTACCACCCTCCACAATCCTATGTTTATTTTATTTTACTCCTTACTTATTTTACTTCTTTGTTTTCTCTTCATCTCATCTCTTATTTCTGTTGTCTTAATGAAGTTCCTCTTTGAGTTTATGTGCATATTTTCCCTTTCCTAAAAAGAATGACTAAATCTGTAGTGCCTCTGTTAGACATGGAGACACCCTCTCCTCCTTCAACAGGAGAAACAATTTTACCTTTGGATATTAAAATTGGACAGTTTTAGAAAACCAAACGAAGAGTACAGCTAGATCAGGAGTGGAACCATACAAATGGAGATCACATGGAAGGATAGCAACAGGGGAGTGGGAGAAGGAGAAGGGGGGAGAAGGTACAGAGAATAAGTAGCGTAGATGGTAGGTAGAAAATAGATAGAGGGGAGGGCAAGAATAGTATGGGAAATATAGAATCTAAAGAACTTGAGACACGTGTTCATGAACTAAAGGGGGGATGGTAGGGGAGGGGTGTGCAGGGTGGAGGGGAATGAAGGGGAGAAAATGGGACAACTGTAATGGCATAATCAATAAAATATATTTTTATTAGTATTTCCCAGGCTATTAGTATTTTCCTTGTGACATGTCTCTTGTAGTTTAAGAAACTTTAGTTAACATTTTTATTCCAAATCATTGTTGTGTTTTCAACATCTATTAAACAGAACCACATTTATTTTGAGTCTACCACCTATATAACAAGTACTGTGTGGTATAGTATGGAGAATGTGAATTTTGAAGCCAGGTAGACTGGATTTTACTTAACATCACTAAACTTGTTTCTGTAGGCACAAAATGAAACAATAATTATAGCTATACGTAGATGACAGGATTTTTGTGAAATTAAATGAGGTACCTGCTTCTGTTCATTATGTAATTCCTCATAATAACAATACTTGGTAATATGAATTAAAAGTTTACTTGAGCTGGTCTGGTCTGGTGCTATGTGCCTTACAAACATCATCTCATATAATTTTCACAATTCCTTGGAGTAAATAGTTTTCACTCATTTTGAAAAAAATTCATATTTTCATAACTAAAATTTGACAAAGCTGGAATTTAAGCCTTTATTAATTTTAGTCTAAATCTATGGTCTCACTCATATTCCGTTTTGATGAATAACTAGAATAGGTATTGACCAAACAGTGTTTACCCCACAGCATCCAGTGCCATGAACTGTACTTTGATGCCTCCATGTACCGTGTGTGGGGTGAATGCTGAACGATTGACCATGTGGACACTGTCTTCCAGGTTTCTTGGAGTCTGGAGCCCCTGGTCCAGACCCCATAGTGAAGTCTGCATCTGCCTTCCAGCCCCAGCAGCTGTGGTTGAGTCCACTGACCCTGCCTGACCTCAGGCTTCTTGGAAAAGCTGAGTTGTCAGCAAGAGAGCCTGAGGGCTGAGGCCCAGAGTAAAGATGCCAGCCAACCAGAGTTCTCCCCAGTGGTCGTTGGCCCTGACTGCAGGAGGAAGAGACAACTCCTGTGAGGTAAGAAGGAAGAGGTGCCCAGGGGCAGAAATTCACTCAGAAAATAGTGTCTCATATGTACAGTGTTTAAAAATGAGGCAGCATAATCAGGATATTTATTGGTAATTTATTTCCCTTGTGTGAATTTCTTTCTCTTGTCCATTGCTTACTTATTTATTTACTTATTTTAAAGAGTTTTTAAAATTAAGGTTAATAACCCATTATCCTTGTCATATATTTTTGTGAGTATTTTTCCCACTTTGTAATTTAAAATTAGTTTTTAGTTTTATTTACAAATAGTAAAAGGTCAAGTAGTTCTTTAAGTCTTCTTTAAAAGTGACTTCTCCCACCCTGGCTGGTGTGGCTCAGTGGATTGAGCGCTGACCTGCAAACCAAAGGGTCACTGGGTCGATTCCCAGTCAGGGCACATGCCTGGGTTGTGGGCCAGGTCCCCAGTAGGGGGCACAGGAGAAGCAACCACATTGATGTTTCTCTCCCTCTGTTTCCCCCTCCCTTCCTGTCTGTGTAAAAATAAATAAACAAAAAAATCTTTAAAAATTTTTTATTAAAAATGAGTCTTCCCTGCCCTTGCTGGTGTAGCTCAGTGGATTGAGTACGGGCCTACGAACCAAAGGATCGTGGTTCGATTCCCAGTCAGGGCACATGCCTGGGTTGCAGGACAGACAGTTCCCAGGAGGGGACCCATAAGAGGCAACCATACATTGATAGTTCTCTCCTTCTCTCTTTCCCTTTCCCTCTAGAGATAAATAAATTTTAAAAAAATTAGTCTTCCCTGCTTTGTTTCTCTCAGATTCCAGCTTCCTAGAGGGAAGCACTCTTAATTTTTTAACAGACTTTAATATTAATTTTGGACATTATCTATTGACTTTCCATGATAGGAGGTAGAGATTTAGCCTTTTTATACACCCCCACTCACATACACATTTGCCTATAAATATCATTGTTTTCATCAGATGCACTGACAATGTTTATTACCGTTAGTGTGTATAGTTGAGTCATTTGGTATCCATTCTGTGGTTACTATTTCTACACAATTATATCTTTTCCATGCAATTAAGTTTTCTGGTTTTAGTCATTCCTTTGCTTTATTATATACATATCAATAATTCAAGTCCACATTATTCCTAGTTGTTTAAATCTCTCTGTATATACAAACATGGTAGATAAAAAAACTAACTACTAGCCCAAGTTCACACAGCTAGTAGTAGGTGGGCCTGTTCTCAAATCTGTGCATCAATGTCTTCTCTTTGAAGAAATCTTTCCTGGAACTTGTTGACTTGTTGAAGGCTGATCTGGTTGTTCTCCCAGCTTAATGCACAACTATTATCTTGGTCTCTTCCCTTTGCCATCCCCCAGGAAATCCTTTTCACCTCTGTCTTATCATACACCCCCTTTCCTTGGGATCCTATGTTTTCCTTCCTTCTTTACTGGATCCACTATCTTCCTCTTTCTTGGTTTACCCCCCTCATTTTGTGGGAGCACATCCTCTAGTCTGTCCTTGAAAATGGGTACATGACAGGTGGATTTTACGAAACTTTGCATGTCTGAAAATGTCATGCAAAAATATATTTTATGTATATAATTATAGAAATAAAAAGTCATAAATACCTTGGTATTAAATTTATTTAACTCTGACACTAAATTTATCTTTTCAAGTGGATATAGAGTTGTAGGTTGGAATCTTTTTTGTACAGAATTTTAAAAGGCTGTTTCCAGTCTAGTCCTTTTGTATCCACACATACATTTTCTCTGCTTTTCTTTTTTTCTTTTTTAGCATTTTTATTTATTTTTTACTTAATGTTGTTCATTTACAGTTGTCCTTCCTTTTTCTCCATTGCTCATCCCTACCCCACCCTTCCCCACTACTGCAGTCAGTCCCCCTATTGCCCTTGTCCATAAGTCCTCTATTCATATTCTTTTGCTTTTGCTTGCTCTTTCCCTTTCTTTCCCCCCTGATCCCCCTCATCCATCTCCCTCTCCAAATGGTTTCTGTCCATTTGTTCTTTATTTCCAAGTCTCTGGTTCTATTTTGCTTATTTGTTTGTTTTGTTGATTAGGTTCCACTTATAGGTGAGATCATATGGTATTTGTCTTTCACCACCTGGCTTACTTCACTCAGCACAATGCTCTCCAGTTTCATCCTTGCTGTTGCAAAGGGTAGGAGCTCCTTCTTTCTTTCTGCTGCATAGTATTCCATTGTGTAAATATAACACAGTTTTTGGATCCACTCATTTACTGAGGGGCACTTAGGCTGTTTTCAGCTCTTGGCTATTATAAATAGCACTGCTATGAACATTGGGTGCATAGGTTCTTTTGAATTGGTGATTCCGGATTCTTAAGGTATAGTCCCAGCAGTGGGATCACACTGTTCTTATGATTGTTGAGCCTCCCCTTAGTATTTGTTGTACTTATTTTCATTTCTTTCTCTTTCACTGTCCTTTCCAGTAATTTTTTAATAAAACTTTATTTTCCAGATCTTCTTTTGTGTTTCTCATTAATGCTGTTATACATTTTTATTTTAAATAAAATATATAAAGTTTATAAAGCTCTTTTTATTTTCAATACATATTTATTTTAAATAAAATATAAAATATATAAAGCTCTTTTTATTTTCAATACATATTTATTTTAAATAAAATATAAAATATATAAAGCTCTTTTTATTTTCAGAATATTCACTTTTAATAGCATGCTGTTTTTGTTTGATGCATGTATCTTATCGCTCTAAAATATTAGTAATACCTGGCTGGTGTAGCTCAGTGGATTGAGTGCAGGCCTGTGAACCAGAGTATCGCGGTTCAATTCCCAGTCAGGGCACATGCCTGGGTTGCAGGTCAGTTTCCAGCAGGGGACGCATGAGAGGCAACCACACACTGATATTTCTCTCCTTCTCTTCCGCTCTAAAGATGAATAAATAAAATCTTAAAAAATATATTAGTAATAATTTTTTAATTTAACTTTTTGAGTAACAATATAGACATATCTCAGAATTGAAACTACATTAAAAAATTAAAATATAAAAATCCACATAGTTTAAATTCTGTTACCCATCTTTCTCCTATCTGCTCACCTATATCTAATACATATAACCAGGTTAGTTTTCTCTGCATGATTAGGGTTTCTTTATGCAAATAAAAGCAGTTGAGAACACATTCTTACTTTGTCCTCTTCACTTCACAAAAGGTGGCCTAATAAACACATTTTATCAGTTTTTGTTAATTGTAAGCATTTTGGTGAATTATAAACAATGTTTCAGTGAACACAAACTTTTTGTTCATTTCTTCTCATGTACATGTGTATATACCTCTCTTAACTATATATGTAGGGGTGAAGTTAATGGGTCATAGATTAAGCTTATTTTTTACAAAATGGTTTTATTGTGACATAACATTTACAGCTCGGTGATTTTTCATTCTGTCAGTCTAGAAAGCGTCCACAGTCAGCATTTTAGAATCCCCCTACTCCCAAAATAATTACTATCCTGACATTTATGATAATCACTTCCATTAAAAGAAAAATTATAAGCCATAGAGTAGAAGAGATAGAGAATAGATTACTTATAGGCAGAATATAGTTTTATTTTTTTTAAGATTTTATTTATTTATCTTTAGAGGGGAAGGGAAGGAGAGAGGGAGAGAAACATCAATGTATGGTTGCCTTTCATGCGTCCCCTGCTGGGAACTGGCCTGCAGGGAACTGGCCTGCAACCCAGGCATGTGCCCTGACTGGGAATCGAACCGCGACTGTCTGGTTCGCAGGCCCGTGCTCAATCCACTGAGCTACACCAGCCAGGGCACTAGGCAGAATATATCAAGAACAATAATACAGTAAGGAAAAGCAGGCTACACAGCAGTCAGAGGCCTTATTTGAACAGGTCCATAACAAAAGAAGATACCAAATCGCTCACAAACACTGGAGATGGTGTCCAACTTCATTAGTGATCAGGGAAATGCAAAATATAAACCACGATGCAATACCACTACACTCCCACAAGAATGGCTAAAATTAAGACAACCGATGATGACGAGTGGTAGCAAGAATGAGAAGCCATGTCAGCTGCTCATAGGCTCATATTAGCACATCTAGCTGCTGATATATTAGCTCATATCAGTAGCTCATATGTAGCTGGTAGGAGTGTAATTGACATAGTCTCTTTGGGAAACATCTTAGCCTTCTTCATCAAAGCATATGTAGATCATATGAGGAAACAATTCCCCTAGGAAAATGCCAACAGAAATCCTTGGCTGATGTGCCGGACATGCATAAATGCTCACTGTAGTGTTACTAGACCTGTGGAGAATTGTCTCCCAACAATATCTACCCTTCATTGTCTTGCCTTCTGCAAATTTTCCCTTGAGTATATTACTCTGTCAGCCATTCTGATTGATATGACTGACAGAGGTGAGGGCAAAAATTGTTCAATTTGTCTTATGCAACACTTAATTAATCAACAGGACTCCAAATGGCAGAATAAGGGCCAGTCTGCAGTATTTTGCTCAACCACGACATCTAGGGTTCTGGATTCAGTCAGGTAACAAATCCTTTAAAGTCATCAAGGTTTACCTTACAAAGCCAGGTGACTTTCTACCTAAGTTTCTATATTGACCTTTCTGCTTGGCGTGAGACACTACTCCAGGTACAGCAGGATGTATTAGCAATTACGCAGATTCTGCCTTGGCCCAAAGGGGAAAGTTCAGCTTCCGGAACAACACTGGACAGTCAGCTGGGCTTGAGCCAGAATGCCTTCCAGGGCCAAGATAGTATGTTGATCACCTCAGATAAAATCAGGGACAAATGTCCTACTACTTTGTCTAATTGGATGATTCCTATCTTGAGAATAACTGCCCTCGAGGTATACATAAGTAACAAGCTAGTTACCCTTCTAGGGAACTCTTAGTAGCAACCAAGTAGGTAGCCTCCTTTTGGAGAGATCCCCAGAATCATTTAAGGGCTACCTGAACCACCGGTCACCACCTTGAACACTTGCAGGTCACATGTGA